AACCCCCCCCCCCCGTACAGTACTGTAGCCTCCAGCTCTTGGTGGTCAAGGGACAACTCTATATTTTGCAGATGGGGAGTTCTCAATAGAATGTGAGTTTATTTGGGATTTCCTCTAGATATTTTCTTGACCCAAGTAAGTAGCCCACTCTCACTGCTGGAACAGAAATCTTGCAGATGATGTAAATGAGTTGGGGCTGATCGCATGGGCCTTCGCTGCAGGAATCCTCCTCAGAGTCCTTGTGAGCTTCAGTGTAGAAGCTGCTAAAGAATCATCATGTTGAACTGGTTATCAGTTCTAGTTTGGCACTCATTTTTTATCCTTGCCAGATCTCCTAAATGGAATGCAAGGGAAGTGCAGCACTTCTAGCTCAGGAGGCTAGGAAAAACAGAGGAAGCCTCATAGGGTGTGAAATAAGGGGAGACTGGCTCTACAAGACTTGAAATAATTATTCTTGGCTGTCATTCTATGTTTTGGCAAGATGTGTCCTGCTGCTTCTGAATTGATGCAGATTTGGACATGAAGCAGAGGCCTATACCTAGGACAGTGGACAAGATGCAGATTTGGACATGAAGCAGAGGCCTAGGACAGTGGACAAAGGCAGTGAACAAATACTTCCGTTCTTTAGGTTTGCCTTTTTATTTATCCAACCATAGAATGGCCTTAATTGGTTGCTTTCAATGTGAACTCTTTTTCTCATTCCAGCATCTCACTTTAAAGCCCTCAAACGGTCCTTGCTTGTGTTTGGCTAAGATGTTTCATCACTAAAATATACTGCTTGGGCATCGCTCTTCCCTCAGGAGTTTGCCATCTGAGTTGAAGAGGTGTCCATCTGAGGAAGTTAGAAACATATAGGAACAGGGAAGCAAAAACATGGCAGGGTTTTTCAAGTGAAGAGGGATGAAAAGGCAGTATTGGGAACACATTGATGGTGCTGAGGCCACATGCATGCAGCCCATAAACGGCACTTTCCCCCATCCCTGCCATAGCGAGAGCAGATCTTGAGGACCAATTAGGATTTTATCATGGAGAGTCACTATTTGTATTATATGTTGCCTTTCAGAGTTACTGAGCCCCCTGAAGAAGTGGAAGTCTCGCTATTTGATGGAACAGAGCATTAACAAACTGTTGAGACCGCTGTCTCCTGTCACTCCCCCACTTCCTGATCCCTCCCTGAGCCCACATCTCACCACACCCTCCTCATCTGTGCCAGGAGAGGAGGAAGTTCGGAGTAGCTGTGGGGTGATCTTCTCACCGATTCCCTCCTTGGCTGCTAGTCGTTGCAATACTCCATTACAGTTTGAGGTAAGTCGGGACTGGAAGTGAGTGATGCTAAGTCTGCTGACTTAGGATATGTGAATCAAAAGGGGTCCAGTTAGACTTCAGAGGTGTTTAGATGTTGTTGTTGTTTTAATGTTCTCTCCTGCAGTCAGGCACCAATGGACTGGAGTCCCTCTTCTCCTTTATTCTTAAAAAGTAAACAGATACAAGAGTGTGCAGAAGGTCACAGGCTGTCGGAGGCACTACTGCTCCCCCTCCTGTTCTCTTAACCCCCACTTGTATATGCTTCTTCCTCCACCAGCTCCCGGTAGCAGGATAATATGTTGCTGGTTTCTAGAATGCTTCTCTTCTGCATGTAACCTTTTAGCAAAACCCTGTGCTTTGCAAACTTCAAGTTTTATTGCATCTCAAAATTTTCCTCATGTGCATGATGTTGGCTTCTTTGGCTTCCTTATTCAAAACTTCTGTAAACTTTTAAGCTAGAAGGCTGTTGGGAAAAGCTGCATGCCTAGTTTTTACCCACCCCATCCCTTGCCAAGGTGGCTGTTGCATGACCAGCCACTTGATGATTGTGAGATCAGTCACTGAGAGACACTCTAGAAAAAGTGGAGGGAGGGAGGAACGGCTGCTTCCACACTTATTGTTGTGTGTACAGTTTTTAGTCCACAGGATTCTGGCCTTAAGAGTGCAAGGGCTGAATGACTTCCAGTATTGGCATTTGCGATCCCAGTTTTTGTAGTTTTCCACAAGATGAGCAAGTGATAGTGCCTACATTTGGAAGCATCCCATTACCTTCCTTTATTGTATCTCTTCTATGTGTTTGGGCTGGGGAGGATTCCAGCCTGCTCTTTCACTTCCGGAAAGCGTGGGGCCATTGAGCTCCTTTAACCTGCTGCTTCCACCCTTCTCAGAGGCCTGTAAAATGATTGTTCTTGTGACAACAGGATCAGTGATGATCAGGAATTTTAGCATCTTGATCCTTTGGTGTTTTGAAGAATTCTTGGCATAGTTATATAGGCTGAGGATCCAACAGGAGATGGCTCATTGTCAGAGGTTGGATTTTGAGCTTAGGTTGTGTGTTCTCTGCACTGAAAATCTGCACCAAGACAGTCTAGACTCTTTGACCATGGAATTTAAATTCTCTGACCTCTGAATGATAAACACCACAAAATGTTTGCACAATCTCTCCAGGTTTACATAATTTTGCCATATTTACTGCTTTTTCTGTAATTCTGCTGTTGCTATCCATGGAGAGAAACCACATGCCACTAGAAAGTAGTTTTCCAATATCACCTCTCCTGATCTTTGCCTGTTGGGCCTCCCTGCAGTTCACATTCATGTCAAGCTGGAAACTTGAACTCATTGGGTTGCAAGAAACAAAGAGTCACGGTGTTCACATCAGAGGCCATAAAGACTGGGTGCCCTTAACTACACCAATCTTATGGGATGGAGGCTTGGGATTTTACCAAGAATTTGAATCTTAAAGTTGGGTGTTTGTCCCAATTTTTGCTCCTGATTTGGAGGTCAGGCTTCAAAGCTTTGTCTTCCTTGTAAGAAAGAGATCTTCTGCTGCCGCCACTGCTAATATATGTGACCAGGTCTGTTGCCTAACTAACACTCCCCTACCTCATCTTCTCTGAGTAGGGAAAAGGTCTTGAAGTGTATTAGATTTCCACCCTACCTCCACTTCTCTGTTGAGGCTTTTCCTTTTTCCTTTGTTCTACTCATGCTTTCTATAAGCAAAATGTTTCTAAAGTTAAAGAACTTAAACAAAAATCCTTAGCAGTCTGAATGAAAACAAAATATAAACAACAGGAAAAACAATATCAGTTCATCAGTAAATGGCACATAAAATCAATTGAAATCATTTGAAGCAGCCACTAAAACTTGTGAGCAACCCCCCCCCCGGAAAAAAAAACCCAGTCAGGTACATAAAGTGCTAAAACACCACAATGAACATGAGAGCAGTTAACACAGATGTGAAATCAGTAATCGCCCAAAGCCCAGATAAATTGTTTTGCCTGATACTGAACACTTGTGCTCTACTCAGCTGCCATTTTGAAGCCCAAGAAAAAATTTGCCCTGTGTTGTTCAAGTAGACACTTGTTGATACAGCTATGAAAGATTCCTTCTGCAGGCATTTTATCACAGTTATCTCCAGTTATTGTTCCATGAATTGCTGAAATATTAAATGTGATATTTGGCTCAATCAGATTTTAAGAAAGATTTCCAAAGTAGATATTTTTTGGCAAATGGCAATTAAGATATAGTGACATCAAAGGAGGAGCCCTTTTTTTCAGTAGTGCCTACTTGAATAAGCTTGTAGGGTGTGCTCAAGGAGAAATGCTGCTCCCGGAGGGATTTTGTGGTAGTTCTGGAGAGTGAAGAATCCCTGACTTCTTCACTATTGATAAGCTTGTACACATGCGTCTCTTTTGAAATAATAAAAGGAAAAACGTTATGTTGCTCATAGAATGGCCAAGAGGTTTTCCAGCCCCATGTTGTCTCTTCCTTGCTACCACTCATGCCGACGGTCCTTTCGTCGGACTTCTCACGGATAGTGGTTGAAATCCTGTTGCACAGTGCCATATGTGCAGCAGTGGTGATGTCATCATGAGTGACAAATTGTCACTCATTCAAGGGTTTTTCAGAGTGCACGGAACTTGCACACAAAGTGTTGAGTTGGCAAGTATCTCAAAATCACCAAAGGAAGCCTTCGGCTAGCCGCGATTTGCTGCTGAGGGCAATGTTATCACCATTACACACGTGGAGCTGCATGGCAGGATTTTAGCACAAGTTTTCTCATGGCTACATGACAGATAATGCTTCATATAAAGCAAAGCTAGTGGCCCTAATAAACCAGCATGCTCTACCTGTAAGTTCTTTTCCCACAACCTGTACCTGGGAGTGAGGAAAGGTACCCCAGGACTGCGAACATTTGGAAGAATCTTATATTTATGGAGAAGAAGTTAGCTTCCATGACTTTAATGGCTCAGACAAGAAGTGAGTACCCTTTGTGTGCCGTACAATAGCCCATTTTAGAGAACAGCAACCTTTTCTGATAATAATCTTCACTAGTCATGGCTCTGTATTTGCTTTCATCATCAGAGGCAGTGTGCTTTATGCCTTTGAATGCTGGTTGCAGGGAGACATATGTAGAAGATGCTCGTGTGCTCCTGTCCTGTTCGTAGGCTTCCCGTTAGCCACCATGGGAACAGAATGCTAACTTATAAATAAGTCTTTGGCTTGATCAAGCAGAGCTCCTACGTTTGCCCTGCCCAGCCTCGCTGTCTGTTAATGAAAGGAAAGTGTGCTTTGAATTTGGTGATGGCATTTAATAGAGCATTGTTGCCAGCTTGCTCTATCCCATGTTATGCCAGGATAACTGTTATAAGCCCAGATATATCCAGAGCGTAAAGAACAAGACAGTTCTGTACTGTTCTCTGACATAAGTCCTGAAGTTGCAGCATGAGATGCAGTAACTCTGGTCCTGTCTTGCTGCTTCTCCTAGTCTTTAAATTCCCTAGCCTCTGAAATCCATATAACGTGTTTAGTTCCCCTAACTGCTAAGACCAGTCCCCAGGATAGTCTCTCTGTTTTTGTTTCGTTTTGTTTTTCAGAATAGCTGTGGCTAACCTCTAAGCTTGGTTTTTTTTTTTTTACTTTATTTTGCTTCTTGACTTGTAAAATTAGATGAATAACGAGATGCTTTTCCCTCCTAGAACGTATCCTCCCCTGAGAGTTCCCCTGCGCATAGGCCCGAGTCCCTGTCGCCCGAGGTAGTTATCACACCATCTCAATTGGAGGTGGAGAGTGTGTGTAGTTTGTCTGTGTGGCTTGTGAGTGTGTGGGAGTGTGTATGTACGAGCGTGTGTGTGCGTGCGTGCGTGTACACGCACTTGGTGGGAAGGGCAGGGGGGGGAAGCTCAGGAGGAGAAAGAAGAGGAGGGGAAGGAAGGGGCCAGTCAAGCAGGTAGAGGTGGAATACACAAAGCTTGCCTGTTAATCCTTCTCAAGTAGCCTTCCCATGGGAGCAGTGAGGAAGAAGAGGAGAGGAAAACTTAAGATACACAAACTCTGGTACCTAATAGAAGTCACTTCATTGTTAGACAGGGCTTCTCAAATGGTTGCACTTGCTGTATTCTCTGGTCACTTTTTCCATTACTTCTGCTCTGTGTGCCCACCCCACCCCACCCCACACCCATAAATCCAAATTTGACAAAAACAAACAAACAAACAAAACCCTACATTCTGGCTTCAGGTTCATTGTGCAAGTCAATAAGTGTGATGCCAATTTATCTGGGTTTGGGGCTGAGTTTTTTTAGCCTTGAAGCAAGGAACAATTCAGCTTTAGGAAGACATTGTTAGAAATGTTACATATTCAAGGCTATTCATTAAGGTGTTACCTTCAAATTACTCTGCTTTTGGGTTTAGCCTGTTTTAAAATTATTATATATGAAATCATATAATGCATAGTTACTGCTGGAAAACAGCATGAAGATTTCCTAAAGGAAGTCTGTGGGTAGGTGGGGCATAAAAACAAAAAAAAGGTAGGGGTTAAGGGAGCCATTCACACTGCTGGGCTTTTTCAGGAAGCTCCATGCCTTTCAATCAAGAGGTGAGAAACTACAATACAGACAGATACAGACACACACTGATCTGGACCTTTCCTAGAGGCTGAAGTTTAGCTGTAACTGTTAATTTGCTTTTGTAGCCAGAACTGCCCTTTGAGCTGTTCTGGAAATTCCAGTTGGTCTTGAAAAGGGCTTCCAAGATTATTGAGAATGACGTGATAACTGTGATCCTATTCTGTTGCTGCTTCATCAGCTGCACTGACACCCAATCCATTTATGGTTGAATTTAAACTGCTAGTTTTAACATTTAAAGCTTGGGCCTCACATGCCTGGACATTTGTCGTTCTTCGGATGTTGTTGGACTACAACTCCCAGCTTTCCTCACCATTGGTGCTCTCGGTCAAGTCACTAGGAGTTGCAGTTGAACAACATCTGGAAGGCTATGTTTGCCCCACCCTTGAGGGACACCAACCTAGACCGGAAGGCTCCCTTCCGTGGCCCTGCTCTGTGTGAAGTGAAGGAGACAACGGCTCGGAGGGATCAAACCCTCTTGACTAACGGCACCCTAGCTGCTGAAGGAGCCTCGTAGAAGAGGCCCGTTCAGTGCCTTTTGGTTGTCCTCCTGGTGAGAGGTGAAGTTCTTTTCATTCACCCACCCCTTTAAAAGTCTTTGTATAGATGTGTTAAGCTTTTATAGGGTAATGTTTTGTTTTTCCATTGTCAGAGAGCTTTTTTTTTAAGGGTTCATTTTTCCATCTGTGAATTGTGCTTTGTGTTACCTTGTCAGTTATGGAAGCCACCCTGAGAAACATAGGTTGATGGGAAACCATATAAAAAGGATGAATGGATATCAAGTAATATTTGTTAAAGGGTGGTAGGATGCATGAAGCCCACCCTCAAATTTCTCTGCCCTTCTTTTCAAATCTGTGTGGCTACATACAGCGAACCTAGGAAGCCACTTTATATTGAGTCCGCCAAGCCCAGGATTGTCAACGCTGACTAGTAGCGGCTCTCCCCAGTTTTCAAGCAGGAGTTTTTCCATCCCTTTTTGGGATAATGGCAGGCGCTGAATTTGGGACCTCCTGCATGCCGAGCATGTGCCCTCCCACTAAGTTATGGTTGCTGCACTTCTAATCCACCCGCACTTTATCAAGAAGGGGAACCAGCTCCAGGATGTGAAAATGCCGGAGAACCTAGAATTCTGTTCAGGGCTTATATTCCATTATTTCAAGGCCAGATTCTTTACCATGCATTTAAAAAGGCAATGTGTGTTTAGGAGATCTCCTCTTAGAAAGAGGAGTCTTGGGTGGCGAGGGGGAAGTGTGCCTGCGCTGTGTGGCTGCGATAGTTTTACTTGTGACAGAATTGGTTGGTGAGCATTCCTGATGCGTGTGGTGTACTTGCTTGCTTTGGTCTTTTTGTTGATTCTTCACCTTTTATTGAAATGGTTGTGAGATTATTGTGTTAAATGGGGGGGGGGGAACAGACAAAGGCTCTCATGAGCACCAAACTCTCTGCCCAGTCTGGGTTGGGGTGAAAGTAGAAGGCTGCAAGTGTATTTAGTCTCCAGAAAAGTCTGCAGCCTCAAAGAGGAAAGTAACTGCGGCTGACAGAACAGACAGAATGGAGAGCCAAGCAAGACTGGCAGGAGGCTATAGTGAGTCAGGAACAAGTAGTGGGCAAGCAGTGTGTGCTCTTCAGAGAAAGGGGGGACCATTTGCAACTTAAATCTTTCTCTCTGTCTGCCCCTTTCACCTGGTTCTCTACCCTCTTCCGTATCTCCTTTCCCTCCCTGTCCTCCCCATGCCCTACTCATGTTGGCCCTTCTAGCTCTGCCTCAGAACAGACCACGATGTCCCCAAGGCAGGATTTGTGGATGCCAGTGCAAACAGCTGCTCCGAGAGACGGTTGCTGCTGCCTTTGGGGCCTTCCGATCCCACATCCCAGCCGTCAGAGACCAGCTTCCCAGGGAAGAGCGGAGAAGCGCAGACACTGCTCCAAAGCTCTGAGCAGGCTTTTCGGACAGAGTTTAACTTAATGTATGCCTTTTCCCCTTTGAATGCGATGCCCCGGGCAGAGGCCTTGCTACGGGAATCTCCACAATTAGCGGATGGGAAGCCTCTGAATCCCGAGCGGGGCAGTTGCAGTTCTCCTGCCGAAGGATACTTTGGCAGGCACGAGCAGGTGCTGCTGAAAGAGGTGGTGCATGGACCCATGGCCCCTTGTGGAGAGCGAAGTTGCGAAGGGGTCACATCTGCCCCCCAGAATCCTCCACAGAGGAAAAAGGCAAGTATCTGACCTGAATGGAAAGAGCAGGGGGGAGCTGGAGATGTGGCAGGCCCTGCTGAGAGGGAGAGGTGCTCAAAAGTCATGAATTCTGGGGTGAGTGCGTGGTATTGTGGGGGCAGCCATATACTGAAGAATGTGGTTTGAATGGCAACTACAAGAAACTCTGCATAGTCCAATCACACGGGGTAGGAAAAAGAGCTGAGGCAGCGGTCAGAGGTGAGGATCGCAGTGGACAGATGGATGCCTTTGGATGCAGAGTTGTAATGGCACACAGAGGCTGCTCCTCAAGAGAGTCACTTACTTTGTGATTTATTTTGCTCTCAGGCTTCCTGTCATCCTGAAGAATGTGGTTAGTTTGGCTGCACTTTTTGATCCAGTCTAAGCTGGATCTTAGAAGCCAGCATGTGACAGATTCTAGTTTTAGCCCTGTGGTTGCTGCTGACCATAGGCTGGAGAACAGATTCCTTTCTGGTGCAGCCAATCCAAGAAACAGACTGCATTCCAAGGGCTGGCAGGTTATATCTACCAGGTCATCCTTGAGCGAGAAATTACATTGTGATTCAGTTAGCAATTTCTTGATCTGTGAATGAGGCTGTGATCCTCGTTTTGACTGTCTTTTCTCCTGCAGGTGTCTCTGCTGGAGTATCGCAAGCGAAAGCAAGAAGCCAAGGAAGGTGGGGATTCTGCCCGATGTACAGGGACACCAACCCGACCGGGGAGCAGCTGTTGTGGGGCAGAGATGGAGGCAGGCATTGTGACGGGCTCAGGAGCCCGGACGCTGTCGTCGCCCCAACATAGCTTCTCTCCCTCACATTCCTCCCTGTCACATCTTGAGGAAGTCGTCCCACCCGAACCAAGAGGGACCACACACTGCAAGTCCCAGGACAGCATCAGCAGTCGATGGTGAGTGCTAGCCTTGACCTTCGAGCTCAGGAAGGAAAACGTGCAAAATTTTTCTCTTGGGACCTTTTCTATGAGATTCTCCAGAAAGCTTTCTGGCTTACTTCTTCTGTGTTCTTTGTGTGCTCAGTACAGCATTTGTACTACCTTACTTACCATCCTGGCAGCACCAGAACACTGTAATGCTTGTGTTGTGTCCCCACCTTCCCCTCTTAGGAGTTTATGGAGCAGCAAAATTATGCAAACAAATGCCAGTTCCCTGATTTTTTATTTTATTTCATTCTATTTTTTATTTTATTTTCTAACATAGGCTTGAGAAACCTTAGACAGAAATCTTTTTGCCTTGATGCTGCAGCTGTAATTGCATTATTTGAAACTGAATGGGGAGCATGAGACAGGTGATAGAAGGTTACAACAGAAATCTCCCAATCCTGGGGAGTGATCTCGAAAGGAAAAATTAAGCGGCCCTCGAAGCAACATGTCTGTCTTCCATTGTGGTGTGGTTATTCATTGTGGAGGTCTTGTCCCAACAACTCATTGTTTACATGTTTGTATCCCATCATTTCAGCTTTAGGGTAATATAAATGGAGTTACTTCACTTTACCCCCTGGCAGTAGGTTGGGCTGAAAATACAATTTTCTCAAATCAAGTTGCTGATAGTCACACACACACACACAGAGAGAGAGAGAGAGAGAGAGAGAGGTGGTTTACTGCTTAGATACAATAGCATCTCATTGTGACATTCAAGATTTACATCAGAATTCTGGAAAAAACCAACATCCTTTAAAAAAAATTAAAAAGTAGACTTGTACCACTCATGGCTGTATATCCATAGGTTAAATAGGAAAACTGAAGGAAAGGATTACCAAGAAGACCTAGATAAGTGACAGGAAGAGGACTTGTCACAACTGTTCCTTTTTATGGGGCATTGTTCCCATTTGCTCCATTGTGTATCTTACCCCTACAAACATCCTTGTACCTTCTCCTGTGCTATCAAATTTGTGACTAGAAGAGGATTCAGATAACTTCACAGAAGCTAAAGCAAAGACCTTGCCTCTTGCTTGTCCCCTGCAAGCATTTGGTATTCAGAAAAGCCAAGTTGTTTTGTGAACATAGAGGCTCTGTTTATCTACCACAGCCAATTGCCCTAATGTTGCTTACATTTAGAATTTGGCATTCAAAGCTTTAGGAGTTGTATTTTGTTCTTCTTTGCCATGTATTGATGTAGCTGCCATAAGCAACCTGCAATGCTTTCTGATATCTGAGCTCGGTGTTTCTAAGGTCTGCCTTTTTTGCGAGTTAGATATGTTG